GACATCTCACAATAACACTATACAACATCGTCTTTATCGACATCTCACAATAACACTATATAATATCGTCTTTATCGACATCTCACAATAACACTATACAGGCATCGTCTTTATCGATATCTCACGATAATAATATACAGACATCGTCTTTATCGACATCTCGCGAAAACAATATTCCTACATCGTCTTTATCGACATCTCACAATAACAATATACCTACATCGTCTTTATCAGCATCTCGCGATAACAATTTACCTTCATCGTCTTTATCGACATCTCACGATAACAATATACCTACATCGTCTTTATCGACATCTCACGATAACAATATACCTACATCGTCTTTATCGACATCTCACGACGTCTTTATCGACATCTCACGATAACAATATACCAACATCGTCTTTATCGACATCTCACGATAACAATATACCTACATCGTCTTTATCGACATCTCACGATAACAATATACCTACATCGTCTTTATCGACATCTCACGATAACAATATACCTACATCGTCTTTATCGACATCTCACGATAACAATATACCTACATCGTCTTTGTCGACATCTCACAATAACAATATACCTACATCGTCTTTATCAGCATCTCCCGATAACAATTTACCTTCATCGTCTTTATCGACATCTCACGATAACACTATACAACATCGTCTTTATCGACATCTTACAATAACACTATACAGCCATCGTCTTTATCGATATCTCACGATAATAATATACCTACCTCGTCTTTATCGACATCTCACGATAACAATATACCTACATCGTCTTTATCGACATCTCACGATAACAATATACCTACATCGTCTTTATCGACATCTCACGATAACAATATACCTACATCGTCTTTATCGACATCTCACGACGTCTTTATCGACATCTCACGATAACAATATACCTACATCGTCTTTATCGACATCTCACGATAACAATATACCTACATCGTCTTTATCGACATCTCACGATAACAATTTACCTTCATCGTCTTTATCTACATCTCACGATAACAATATACCTACATCGTCTTTATCGACATCTCACGATAACAATATACCTACATCGTCTTTATCGACATCTCACGATAACAATTTACCTACATCGTCTTTATCGACATCTCACGATAACAATATACCTACATCGTCTTTATCGACATCTCACGATAACAATTTACCTACATCGTCTTTATCGACATCTCACGATAACAATATACCTACATCGTCTTTATCGACATCTCACGATAACAATATACCTACATCGTCTATAAAGACAAGTTTTTTATTACAGTATTCTTACGTTGTCTTTATCAAAAACAGTTAAAAGAGGTTTTCCTAAATTGTTTGTGCTGACACTACGCGATAGCAATATTTTAACACCTCCTTTCTTGACACCTTTCCTACCTCATCTTTATTGACATGCCTGGATCACAACATCCCTACAACTTTATTGACACCTCTATATAGCAATATCCCTACATCTTTATTGACAAGCCTAGATCACAATATCCCTACATCTTTATTGACATGCCTAGATCACAATATCCCTACATCTTTATTGTCATGCCTAGATCACAACACCCCTACATATTTATTGATATGCCAAGATCACAATATCCCTACATCTTTATCGACATGCCTAGATCACAATATCCCTACATCTTTATTGATATGCCTAGATCACAATATCCCTACATCTTCATTGATATGCCTAAATCACAATATCCCTACATCTTTATCGACATGCCTAGATCACCATATCACTACATCTTTATTGATATGCCTAGATCACAATATCCCTACATCTTTATCGACATGCCTAGATCACAATATCCCTACATCTTTAATGACATGCCTAGATCACAATATCACTACATCTTTATTGACACCTCTATATAGCAATATCACTACATCTTTATTGACACCTCTATATAGCAACATCCCTACAACTTTATTGACACCTCTATATAGCAATATCCCTACATCTTTATTGACAAGCCTAGATCACAATATCCCTACATCTTTATTGACATGCCTAGATCACAATATCCCTACATCTTTATTGACATGCCTAGATCACAATATCCCTACATCTTTATTGACATGCCTAGATCACAATATCCCTACATCTTTATTGTCATGCCTCGTTGGAGTATTTGTACTGGCGGTATTGACACTAACAACAATGCAGATTACACGGTTTATTCCCAACTGTCCCAAAACTAAATAAATAATCTTCCCAACTTTCCCAAAAGTAGGGTTGTTGTTAAAGTGATCAGGGGTTGAGAGTGTTGTTTTAACAGGTAAGACCACTGTCCAAAAAGTCACAGGTAAGTGGACATCATGATTTATTTCCATTCTCATATTTATGTAATATCTTAAAATAAACTCTAAATGTGAAATATTTTTCCAAACTGTCATTCCTGTATTTCCAAATCTTTCATTCAAATTCTAAAAATTAAGTATAAACCTAATAAATATTATTGAATAAGCATATTGATTTATTTACATTAATAAATTATGTCATATTCACAAAAATATTTTAATAATTTAAATCGGAATATTTAATATTTAGTCATTAAAAAATAATTCAAGATGAACAGTAAACAATAACACTTAGCCAGAGGTTGAGGCAACTACCCAAGCTGTTTGAGATGAGTAAAATCATGAGATGAATATCCAAGCTATCTGAGGAGAGTAAAATATCCAAGCAAGGAGAGTAGATACATATCACATGATTTTGGAATTGGCATCATCAATGCAATTATGGCTAACTATCAAGTTCAGACACAGTTCACAACTAATCAACGTGGAGGCCGAAGACTAAATCAGGCCGGATTCAGCTATATGGTAAAGAATAAGTACAAAGATACAACCTATTGGAGATGCCGCATTCGAGACTGCCCTGCAACAATCAACACCACCAATGACATTCCGGTGAAGATGGGACATCAACACAATCATGAACCCAACAGATTGAAAGTAGATGTACAGAAAATCATGCAGAATGTAAAGAGAAGATGTAGAGAAGAACTTAAACCCATAACAAGCATCTACGATGAAGAAATCGCCCAGATACAGACACCAGACTGGACAGATAGGACACGCCGAATGGTGGAACAGATACCGACCTTCCCCTCCTGCAAGTCATTCCTCTACAGAAACAGAGTAAAGATACTGCCAAAGTTACCCACTTCAGCTGCTGCTATAGCCTTAGAAAACGAATGGACGCAGACCAACGCCTGGGGAACAGTTTCTACTCTTCGATGACAACACAGACAATTCAAGAATTCTAGCCTTTGCCACTACCAACAGCCTGGAGACCCTCTCGACCGCTACCACCCTGTACTGTGACGGGACATTCTACACATGCCCGAAGTATTTCAGCCAACTCTACACCTTCCACACCATGATAGACAACCAGATGTACCCACTTGTATTTGCCCTCCTACCAGGAAAGTCACAGACTATTTACACCCGATTCTTAGAAAAACTAAAGTCAACGATGGAAGATCTTCATCTGCAACTCAACCCCACAGTGCTGTTCACGGACTTCGAATCTGCCGCCCAGAATGCAGCTAAAGCCGCCTTCCCAGGAATAACTCTGAAAGGATGCTTCTTCCACTACACCCAATGTATCTGGCGAAAGACTCAACAGATTAGACTTCAGACCCACTACACAGACTTATTCGACGAGCAGCAGTACTACCCCTGGTACCCCTGAACAGAATTGAAGACTACTGGTTCAACGCCTTGAATGACCTAGAAGACGTCGACTTACCGGTGGAGACCACTATTTTCACAGACTACGTCACAACACAATGGGTAGAAGGAGACCGAAATATTTGGAATCAATTTGACAATGATGGACCCAGGACTACCAACAACTTGGAAGGCTGGCACAGCAAACTAAAGAAGAGGATCCCGTCAGCACACCCTAACATCTACCTATTCATCAGGGTACTGAAGAAGATTCAAGCTGCCAATGACGTCAGCCTGATTCAACATGCTGTTGGAGGTTTGCCCGCACAGAAGAGACGGCGCTACAGAGTGTTGAACGAACGCCTGGTCCATTTGAAGACACTGCTAAATGATGGCCAGATTGACTACATCAACTATGGAGACAGAGCCACATACTTGCTCCATATGGAGTAATAGTTTAACTGACAGTGCGCATTTAGTGTGAAATTATGTTTATTCTGACCGTTATCATAATTTAAGAAGAAATTTTCATATTAATATATAATAAATATATTATATTAATATATTGATATATATGTTCTCAAAATATTTCATCTTAAGTTATATCTCATTACTCAGATATAATAATACATAAATTCCTACTGTACATGTGGGTAAATAATATAATGGTAAACATTTGTTATCCTGTATTTTACCTGCTCGGAATAAACTATCTAATTGTTACCTCATCATGTTGTTTTCTTAGTCATTACTGGCCTATATACACAACTCCCATCTGTCCCAGAGAATTTTTACCTGTTATTTTCGGTTTTGGGACAGTTGGAAATACACCGATTACACATCCCTATTGTCAACGGTCGTTATTTAGCATATATATGGGTCGTGATACAGGTGTAATCATGTCATGATTCTTTAGTCCGTATTTCAGTGTCACTGAAATGTTAAGTTCTTATTTTTTAAGTTCTACATACCACTTAGAACTTTTTCTATTTAATGTAACTTAATGTTATACAAATGTACAAAAGTACATGTTTGTTTTTTTCTTGCAAATTTTACATACATTACTATAAAGGTTTCCACGCTATTAAACTTAAGGTCAGCTTTGAAGTACAAATTTAGGTTTGTAGATAGTTTGATAAATCATTCAATAATGAACTTGGTGAACTTTAAAGCATCACCAGAAATTCATTATCTATAAAACCTAACAACATTGATTCATACTTCAGTGTTGTTTAGTATTCATGAGCTTTTAAATTAACGTATCGAACTAATTTGGCTTACCAATGCGGCTTTAGAAGACTTTGGGTTGTCCAAGGCTATCCATATCTTGTACCGGATACTATCCCGATTAATGCCGTCATTGTCATCCTCTTTTCCTCTCAGTCCGTTTACGTTGTTTGCCTTTCGTAGATTTTCCATTACATCAGTTGTATCGTCGATTTCGTAGTAAGCCTTCCAGCAACATTCAGAAATACAAGACACAGGGATTTTCCAGAACTCCATTTCTTTCCGGAAAACTGCACCACAAATATTCTTCGGCACATGAAGCTCATGTATTGTGTATAAATTCAGTATTGAATTAAAAATATCCGGGTCCCTTTCAAAAAAATATTCACCATTTTCTTCGTCCCAATAATCTGAACTATGATCAAGACATGCCAATAAAGAGTTAGGATAGAAACCTAAAGTAGAACTTCTCGTTTCAAATCGAACACCCCTGATGTTAAGTTTAACTTTTACTTTTAAGTTGTTAGCTGTCGACATGTTCGCCACTGGCTTGCTAAAACAGGTAATTAGTAATGTACTGTGGCTGTAACAACATTATACGCGAGCTTAAGTTTACCCAACATCCGGTTTAAATACAGCATCCTTTCTACAAATTATGCAAATTGCTGTCACGTGCGTGAGTATCTGTTCGACTGATGATTAACATAGCTTCGTCCCGCTGTCAACTGAAGAAGGCGGTCCATGTTGCCCTGAAACCACCTTGTCAGTAATTAATGGGGCATACTATACATAGCAAATAATCTTTACTGCAACATACCCCAGTGTATAATGGGGATATTATATATCCATAATGCATGCGCTGTGGATAGTTCCGATCCCAAACACGCTCTCTAGATTGACACATATAACGAAACACATTGAACACATCATATGATATGAATGGAATCGCAGAAAGGAACGTGTCATTTTGCTGTACTAATGTTGATACACACACAAGAGTACCGGTGTAAGTCCCCGTGTTCACTAACTGTATGTAACATGGATTAAATTAACACGTGGTAACAATCAGATCGTAACCACTGTTACACATGTGTACTGTCATTTTGTAGCTAAGAGATAGGCTAAGTGTATATATAAATATTCGAACTTTAGTCAATTCGTATTCAGTTTAGTGAACGTACTCTATTGGAATTTTACACAGAGCGAGTAACATATGGATGTCTGTCGGTAACAGTGCCCTAAGTTCAAGGAAAGCAGATGTAAGTCATATCCCCTTGGTTTCGCTCCATGACCAACATCCACGGGACTGGACGTTTTTATATAAAGTAAAGTCTTGCACTCCAGACCCAATATAAAGGTTTAGCTAATATACAATACCTCACTGGCATGTGTATATAAGAACAAGAAATGGTGCTGACAGTAATTAAGTATTTGTTATCTGTGACAGCAGCAGTGATAGAAACAACAAAGTTCTACATAGTAAAACTGAGAGTTACTACGGATCAGTGATAATGGTAATTACACGGAACAGAACCAACAACAATAAAACATTTGTACAATGTATAACTCATCGTATTTAATTGGTTTGATCTGATCGACGAGAAGTTCATTTTCGTGGTCCACGACTCGCGTATACCATTAGTAACGTATAACCCCTTGTCACCAAATTCCACAAAGATGTACGCTTATATTTTCTCTTCTGTGTTAAGTTTATCTCAGCTTTGTTTTTAACGAACATTTTGAGGATTTTTTTGTGAAACAATATCTATTCCAACAATTATGACATAAAGTGTTGCAATTTTGTCTTGTTAAAGTATAGTAAAAATGGGGAAAAATCTGTCCCAAAATAATCTCGAACATGTAGTCATTTTATTTTATTTTCAAGAAAGGAAATGCTTCAATACATGACATCTGCAGCATTCATTAAGACCTTTGTACAAACTAGATTACTAAACATAAAAATTATATCTTCTATCAGAACCTTACATATGTCAGTCACATTTGAACTACGTGACGTTTATTTATGAAGTTGGGACATAATGGTCACTATATTTTACAAAAATCTCTAATGTTGTGACGATACAAATAGGACCAGAAAATTATATATACATTTTATAAACACCTGCTTATTTCAGACAAAGTATAAGCATTTGGCTTTTTAATTATTACATGATAGTACGATATTATGCTAAGGATGGTATTACGTTGTTATATCGGTGAGGACGACAAAGTATATTGTGGTAAGTATTTTCCTGCTAAATCATCAGTACATTTGTGGAGAAAAAAACATTCAGTCAGTCATTTGGTCAGGAAATCTATTTGCTTTATCAAGGTTTCTCTAATTAATGAATTTCATTAATTGTCCAACTGCGGACTTTGGTATATATATTAAAACAAGGGCTTAGATGTATATCTAATTCAGTTATCAAATTTATGCCAGAAATTTTAGGGCAGGTAACCTCAAGATTGGAACCAACGTGTACCTATAGATAACAACTTTCATCACTCACTATATATTGTTTTGTGTCTGTTTGAGTTTAGGTGTTGGCGGAGAAAATCACAAATATTGACAAGATTGATTCACAAGATCCAACGTGAAATAAAAGAGCATACAACAAGTGATGAAAGTAGAAAATGTCCAGATACATTTAGGAACTGCAGGTTCTTTATGTTTATTACACTTTAATACAATTAAGATAGTTTGAGCAAAGTAACCTGTTCATACTTACATATGCCTGAGTATGACAAGATGAGCTGATAATCCTATCAGTATATTGTGCGTTTTAAGTATATCATATAGAGGACAGAATTACACAATAATCCAAGTCATAATGTGCTGGGCCGTCCAGTATTCTGATAGTCTTATCAGTTATTTATGTCACGAAGCTGTTTCCATTTTCCTGCTTCATGATCTGCCTATTAAACATGTGTCTTTTTTTACCCGTAAACACAACAGTTGGTGGCCGTACAAAAATCCCTACAGACTCAAATCGCTGAATCGTTTATTCAAGCGGTCAGGATTTTATATCATCAGCAACCTTCGCGTACTTAGTTCTCTCTGCACTAGCATACTCCCTCTATCTTAATGGTATGATGTCACAAAACAGAGGTGCCTTTCTGTAAATTAGACTGCGGTTGGGGTGATAACGTTAATCAATTACAGGAAGCATGGTGACATACGCATATCTTGATGAGTTTAAATGGCAGTGATGGTCTTGTATTTTATTCATGAAACGAAACATCTGTTTTAAACAAGCATTGATTATATATGCTATACCACAGAAAATATATTTCCTACCAGTATGTCAATAGTGTTGTATTTCTCCAGTGGTTCGTGGTTGTATCAAAAGCCAAATTAAAGATGTATTCTTCGTGAAAATCCACCTCAGAATTGTAACAATGAATTCAATATTAATTAAAAATGTTCATTTTTCAATAATAATATTTTGCTTCAGTAATCCGGGTAATATTTCGATGTCATTTTGTAATGAGAAGAATATTACATGATAGTGATGATTTAAATTGTATGGGTACATCTATTGTGATGTAATGTCATATAGGATACTGATTTAATATGTACATGTAATGAAAAAGAATTACACACCGTAAATGTATACATTTACAAGACAAGGATTGGAGAGATTAAACCAATAGATTTGAGAGATATTGACTTAAATGAAATAAAGGACACGGGTAATAATTAACAAGATTGATACTTGTGTATATATTAGTACCTTAATTCAGTACCTTAATTCCATCCGTCTTAACTGGCAGAGGAATACATTTTTTGTTATATATCTTCAAATTCAGATATAATGCTTCGGTCACATTCACAAATTTATCTACGGAACGACCACGTGAAGCAATTTAAAACGTTCTGGTCAGCAAGCAGCTAGCTGGAAGTACCGTTATGTTACCCGATGTAGAAAGACTGTTCTGTACCAATAAAAGAAGTCTTCAATTTGTTTTAAAAGTTGAAATTAATACTTTAAGTAATTGCAAAGGACAAATACTGAAAATCAATGTGTAAGTCTTCACCATATACTAAGAGTGATATCACTGTTGTATGGTATTGTATGGCATGTTACAGAAGACTGAATACAAAGGATACATCATCAATTGCACATTAACATGGTAAAATCAATAAAGCGTCATTTACTTATCCCTTTGTTCATTCTGAATTAAAAATACTATATTAAATTGTCCATAAATATATATGATTGTCATCCCTTATATAAAAATGTTTGTTTTAGATCAAACTTTCAAATCAGATTGCCAACAGACGCCCTTCATTTTCTTTCAATCCGACGATCCGGCACCTCTATTTTCCCATCGCTTCAATCATCCATTTCGACACAAACCCGAAAAAACAACAAACACCATAACTAAAAAATGAAAAAAATCACTAAACATTAAAAGTGTTAGAAAAGTGAACGTAATCTAGGTATACTAGCCCTGTATTTTGCACACTATCTATCGGATAAAAAGTATAGTAAAACATTTCCGATATGTCATCGTTTTTATCAGTTGAACAGTACAGTTACGTTACTTCTTCATGTCCAGGATTAGGTAATGCCAGTGGTAATACACAGCATGAACTAAAATTTAACTTTTACCACAAATCTGTACGGACACAGTGACACCCAACTGCTTTAAATTGTACACAGTTACGTATTGCTGTGTAGCTCGTGATACTTTCCTACAGTGTATAATAAGATGTTAATTCTGTCTTCAGTCTTTAAAGTTTTCATAACGTCACCATTTTTTTTATAGCGAGCGCAACGAGCGCTTTGAGATATTGTGTGTGGTAATTCAAAACCAATAGGCTTAATCTGCCCACATGATCAACTTTAAACGGAAGTGTGGCTTGAACTTCACTACCCACAATACATTACCGCAGCACGCAATCAGAGAACAGTCGACCCTTTGAATGGATTAAAAATATTTTGACCTACAAAATATCTTTTCAAGCCTCCATGTCGGAATGAAATCATTTTAAAAGACTTAACAACAGTTCAAATATATATAACAAACATATACGTTGATGGTTCAAAACGCATATGACCAAAAATTTGAATATAATTTTAACCATTCAAGATTACAGCACGTTTGTTCCCCGGGTACCTGTTTTCAGGTCTAAGCTTCGGGAACTTCCGTCACTTTCCGTGAACGATAAATACATTGTCTCTTACACGGAAGCAACTGAAAGGTCCAGATTTAACGTGCAACCTGTGCCGTGTCCTATCTGCATTAAAAAATTTGCGGTTTTGCGGTAATTCAAAGCCCACTACCCAACCCCCTCCCACCCCCACCTCTCCCGCCACGGTGTACTTCTTTCGAGGTAGTGTGTATTATTTTGCAATGTATGTATGTGCCCTATTTTATGTCATGAAAGTTTTCATTATAATTGCATTGTAATTAATGTTATCTATGAAAAAGCACTTGTTAAAATGTATTCGATGTTTGAGCCTGCAAGGGATTCAAAATTAAATTGAATGTTATGTTCGGACAGCCGCGTGCTGTTGTTCCATTGACGA